AAAGAAAGAAAGAAAGAAAGAAAGAAAGAAAGAAAGAAAGAAAGAAAAAATTTTTCATGTGGTCTTCATGGAGAAAGTATAGAAAAAATAGTGAGGAGGATAGAAGACTCAGAATTAGGAAAAGGGGTCTAAAAAAAGGGCCCTCTTTTTGTTTTCTTCAACCCATGACTCTATGGGTAATGACAGGCCTTACTGCCTCATTTAAGCCATTTAATTTTTTTTCCCTAGTGTTGAGTTCTGGCCACTGATCTGCTGAGTGACCTTTGAGAAGTCATCATACATTGCTGAGTCTATTTCTTTAGAGAGTGGTAGTGGAAGGAGCTATTTCTTCATCAGCAAAATGAGGGAATGGGGCTAGATGTGATATTCATTATTACACATATTAGTGATAACTATGTACTAAGCATTATGTTAGGTGTTTTCCACATATCACTCATTTCACTCCTATACAGCAGCTGTTATTAGACACTTTCTGGTCCTTTTCTGGACTAAGATTTCATCAATATTCCTTCTCTTGTGCCTCTCATTCTCTGAGGACATGTCACGTGTGACAAATTTCTCGTTTTCCAGAAACTTACGTTCAGATTAGAAAGGTAAAGCTGGACTAGACATCAAATTATTATGGTCTAAACTGAGTGGCACACCATAAATATGACAGGAGTTACATTTGTTATCTGCTGCCATGTAACAGATGACCACAAACTTAGCAGCTTAAAACAACACACATGTATTATTTCATAGTTTTTGTGGGTCAGGAGTCTGCTGGGTCCTCTGTAGAGTCTCACAAGCCTGCAATCAAGGTGTTGGCTGGGCTGTGTTCCTTAGTAGAGCCCAGGATCCCCTTCCAAGTTTATGTGGTCATTGGTAGAACTTCTTATAGGCACTGGACTGAGGGCCCCTATTTTCTTGCTGTCAGCTGGGGGCAAGTCTCTGTTCCTAGAGGCTCCTGCAGCTCCCTGGCCTTCTCCACAGGCAGATCAGAACATGGCAGCTTTCTTCCTCAGAGCCAGCAGGAGACTTTTTCATCCTAGTCTGCTAAGAAGTGTTATATAATGTAACTGTCGGTATGGGAGTGACACACATCACCTTTGCCACACTCTGTTGCGTAGAAGAAAGTCACAAGTCCTGCCCACAGGCAAGGGGAGGAGATTACACAAGCGTGTGACTCACTGGGAGGTTGTGGTAGTGGGGGGGGGTGTCACTGGAAGGTGTGTTTGCCACAGGAATTTAGTAAAAAAGATAAATCAGAGAGAACAGGAATCCTCAAGGGAGGCTTTATGGAGGGACTTAAGCTAGAGTTTAAAGGAAGAGTAGAATTTAGACCCACAAAGAGGGAAAGAGAAGAGGCAGACCATCTAGGATCAAAGGGCTATACACATATGAGCAAAGGTGTGAAGTTGGGGTTCTCACTTAAGTTAATGCCCACACAAAAACCTGATGGAAACCTGCTGACTTTTTACATCACAAAGGATAGGAGGAACCTCTTTTCTTTTTTTCTTTCTTTCTTTCTTTTTTTAAAAAAATATTTTATTTATTTGAGAGAGAGAGACAGGGAGAACAAGCAGGGGGAGCAGCAGAGGGAGAGGGAGAGGCAGGCTCTCTGCGAGCAGGGAGCCCGGCGTGGGACTTGATCCCAGGACCCTGGAATCATGACCTGAGCTGAAGGCAGACACCCAACGACTGAGCCACCCAGGCACCCATCTTTCTTTCCTTCTTTCCTTTCTTTCTTTTCTTTCTTTCTTTTCTTTCTTTTCTTTCTTTTCTTTCTTTTCTTTCTTTTTCTTTCTTTCTTTCTTTCTTTCTTTCTTTCTTTCTTTCTTTCTTTCTTTCTTTCTTTTTCTTTCTTTTTTTTCTTTCTCTTTCTTTCTTTCTTTCTTTTTCTTCCTTTCTCTTTCTCCTTCCTTCTTTCCTTCCTTTTTAAAGATTTTACTTATTCATTTGAGAGAGAGCAAAAGAGCAGGAAGGAGGGGCAAAGGGAGAAGCAGATTCCCTGCTGAGCAGGGAGCAACTCCAGGATCAAGACCTGAGCCAAAGTCAGACGCTTAACCCATTGAGCCACCCAGGTGCCCCTCCTTTTTTTTTTTTAAGAGTTATTTATTTATTTGAGAGAGAGCTGGGGGGGGGGTGGGGAGGTGGGGGCTTGGGGGGCGGGGGGGGGGCAGAGTGAGAGGGAGAGTCTTAACCAAACTCAGGCTGAGCACAGAGCCCCAGGCAGGGCTCCATCCCATGACCTTAAGATCACGACCTGAGCCAAAAGCAAGAGTTTTGGTATAATAAAGCAAGGCTTAATCGATTTAGCCGCCCAGGAGCCCCAGAACCTTTTTCTCTCTTTAACCAAAAGGAAGCTGGGTAGTGAAGAGAGTCCTGGCCGTTGTGTCAGAAAATTTGGGTTCATGGTTCAGTTCTGCTCTACACTAGCGGTATGATTGGGGCCTCTAAGCCTAGTTTACTGTGGATGCTTCTATTTATGTTGTGAGGACTTTGTAAGCTCTTGGGTGAGAAGTGCTCTGCAAGCTTTCTGGGTCCCACTTCCAAAGGCAGCTTAAGCGAGTTCCAAGACCCCACTCTCTCCAAGGCCACACCGCTCTCTCAGAGTCCTCTTTCTCAATCCTCACCAGGTCTCTCTTGAAGTCTCTTGAACAGCTGGAGGGAGGCACTCCCCAGGTTCTGGCCTTGGCACCCTCATCACCTTGTTATCTGCTCTGCCTGGTGCGCTCCTCCACCACCACCCACCACCACCCACCACCCACCACCCGGAGCCCACGCTCACCAATCCATGCTTGCGCCAGACCCCTTCCCCAGCGCTGGACTCATGCGTCCAACCAATGACTAATCCCTCCCTCCTGGATCTCCCCCAGACCCCTCAAATCTTCCTCGTACCCAGAACTAAACTCATTGCCCTCCCTGCGAGCCTCTTCCTCTTCTGCCTGGTCTTGGGAAATCACACCACCAAGTCTGGGCTTAGGCCATTCTTTTCTGCCCTGCCCTCACACCTGAGCTCCAAGTGGTGCCAAGTCCTCTCTGCCCGGTGTGGCCCTCCAGTCACCACCGCCCAAGCCTCCCTCTCGTCAATTCTTGCGGGAATCAGGGCACCTAGTTCTCAGCGGATCCTCCTGGCTCAGTTTGTTCTCCACACTTCCTGCAGGATGAACTTTCTCAAGCACGAATTTAATAGTATGTCCGCTTTGCTTAAAAGCATTCAGAGGCCCCTAAATATTTGGGAATGTGATTCTTGCCCACCCCCTCTGTCCCCTCTGCTCCAGTCCTACTGAACTACAGTCAGTTCTCACACTACACCATCTTCTTTCAAGTGTCTGGGTTTGAATGCACTGTTCCCTCTGGTCAGAAATAGCCGACCACACCATCCTTCTCTGCCTTGCCGGCCCTTCTCATCCATGATTACTCAGCTCAGCTGTTCCGTTTTCAAGGCCCCCTCCTATGGGCACTCTTGCCAGCCTCTGCAGGCCTTTATCACAACTCTCATTACTCCAGAGACCCAAAGCCTGTGGGGTAATTTCTTCTTTTGCTCTTTCTAGATTGTGAGTTCTCGAGAGCAGTAACGGTGTGTTATTTTAGTTTATTTTGATTCTCTGATCACCTTTTCTTCCAGTCTGATCCTTTCTACATATTTTATGTATTTATTTTTTGAATACGTAACACATTCATCTGTCTAAAAATTCAGAAGTTACAAAAAGCTATATAAGGAAAAGTCTCCCTTCAACCGCTGTCCCCACTCCAGTGGTCCAGTCCCCCTCCCCAGAGGGAATCAATATTATCAGTTTCTTGTGAATACTTCTAGGGATATAAATACTTCTAGAAATAAAAACATATCTACAGGGGCGTCTGGGTGGCTCAGTCGTTAGGCGTCTGCCTTCCGCTCAGGTCATGATCCCAGGGTCCTGGGATCGAGCCCCTCATTGGGCTCCCTGCTCAGCGGGAAGCTTGCTTCTCCCTCTCCTGTTCCCTCTGCTTGTGTTCCCTCTCTCGCTGTGTCTCTGTCAAATAAATAAATAAAAATCTTAAAAAAACAAACAAACATATCTATGGTTCCCCTTTTATACAAAAATGTTATCATGTTCTACAGACTGTGCTGTACCTTGTTTTCACTTATGTACGGTATCCAGGAGATCATTCCATTTCAGCACGTAAAGAACTTCCTTATTCTTTATTTTCAGTTTTCCATTGTGGTTGTATGCTAAGTTCATCAATGACATTAGGTTATTTCCAGTCTTTTGCAAATACAGGTAATACTGCAATGACTATCTTCACAAAAATGTCACTTCACACATGTACAAGTGTGACAGTAGAATGGATTCCTAGAAGTGGAGCTGCCAGACCAAGGAGTATGTGCATTTGCGAGTTTCACCATGCCATACTGCCCTTCATGGAGTTTGTAGATAACATCTTATTTATCTCTGTATCCCTAGCCACCACTGCAGAGTCTAGAACAGAGCAGGCATTCAGTACATTTTTTGTCAAATAAACAAATGAAAAAAATAGCTCTTTCAGTGGAAGTTCCCTTTTTCCTTTCTTTGATGTCCTTAGTGGATAAATTCCTGCCCATTCAGAGCTCAGTTCAAACCAAATGATTGTACAGCAAAATTCTTATTATTTCAACTTGTATTATTTTCCCTATTTGTGCAGTTAGTTGACACCCTTCTTCATTAGGTTGGTTATAAAATAAGGTCATATTAACTTTTATGTTCTAATATAATAACTGGATCCTCATCCCACATTTT